CCTAAATTAGTGCTATTCACATTTGCTTTGATCAGTATTGTTTGTACGCACTAAAGGGGAATTCACTTAAATCTTTAATCTAGTGTTCGCAAACTATCGATATTATCGATGGTTTCATCAGACTTGTTTCTTTCATAAATACTTTTTTGTGATATGAACATACTTCGCAAAAATTAAATTTGACAAAAAAAATTAAGTACATAAAATTTCAAATCGTGCTAAATGGAATAAAATCGTGTAAAAAATTAAAAATATTCAATTTTCAAACCGTGTTATATCAAAACCGTGTACAAAAAGACCGTGTAAAAACAGAATTAGGTGTATTTTTAAATAAAAATAATGATTTAAATATTGCGATTTTAACATAAATGAACATAAGCCATTTTCAACATGAACAGTTCCTATAATAAAAATACTATATATAAATACATATAGTTAATTGAATGTTGAAAATACCTGGTCTGTTGCATTATTTAGAACTTGCATGACATAATTGCGAATGAGAGTAATAGCTTTGTACAAACAATGCCTATACCTTGCTTCAAAAATTGGAGCTTCTTTGCAATTCGGCTAAAATGGTAAAATCATAAATTGTATATATATATATATAATAAAAATGAATAAAATATTTAACATAAAAGAATACAATCAGATCTTATCAGCAACAGTCATAGTGGAATCAACACAATGGTGACTCAACACATCAATAAATCATAAATTTGCATCATACAATAATTAATTTCCATTTTTGCTCCAAATTCAAGAATATAAATTAGAATTAGGACAAAATAATTACTAAACCAATAATACATTAAAATTGTATTGATTTATGTTCCTAATTTAATAAAACATGAAACTGCTTACATGGTTTTTCATGTACAATATGCATTCATCAATTTTATTGAGAACTTGAATAAAAGAATCACTAGTAACTGCTAATGTTTTCCCACAAGATAACCGTTGTCCTAGTTTTTCAGCTTGGTTAAAGTATTGCAATCTATCACATATATCATTGCAGATAATGTTTAATTTATTTTGATCTGAAAGCAGATGCTCACTTGCATTATTTAATAAACTTGTATTAACTGATACTAAGCTGTGTTCAGAAGCCAATTCATTTAATGCTTGAACTGAATCATCAATCTGAAATATAAAAATAAACATAATACTAGTATTGAACAAATAAAATACTGCATAAAAACTAGGCTTGGACCGAATATTCGGTATTCGGCACCTCTTTTGACATTCGGTCGGATAACGAACAAAAATATGTATCTGCATAAAGAATTCTTGAATTTTGTTAAATTATGAATTGAAATTAAAATAAACTCTGTACCTCAAAAGGAAACCATGTGTAATGACGATACCATTACCATGGGGCAAATAGAGGCCCATTATTCTAGGACCCATCTAGTACAACTACACACTTTGTATAATCACATTTATAGATAGATCCAAAAAGCTTACGATGTGATGGTTTAAATAACATATGATTGGAGATGACTTCTTGATTGTATACATAATAAATTATATTTTGATAACTTTTGAGATTATAAACACATCAAAAACATCCTTCTGAATACTCCTCAAACAATTTGTTACGAACAATATGTCATCAAACAATATGTTACTGTTATATGTTTGTTATTTTTAAATGGAATCAATAAATAATTATGCTTGAGTGTTTGCATATATACAATTAAGTTTCATCCTTATTTATGAATTTATCTTATTTATTAAAAATTAGTAATAAAATCTCTTTTTAAGAATTAGTAATATAATATATCAAGTTATGACAATCCATAAAATTCGATAAGCAGGAGAATTCAATTTTTTGTTTTTGAACTAGAATGCAGGAAAGAATTTATCAGTGCCAGTAAGTAAAGTTTATACAACAGCTTTTCTCCAAAACTGCTGGGGTAGTCTCGAGATAAAAACCTAAACTACTTTCTAAAAATGTAGAAAAAGTAGTTTTGAATCCTGGTATTCTAAATTTCTTATTTTTCCTAATTTATAAACTATCTAATATGTAAAATAATTATATAAAAATGGTACTTAAATGTTCATAAGATTATTTAATTATTCGGTAATCAGTCAGTAATAGTATAAATGGTGCTGAATTTTCGAAACGAGTAATTGAATAGTCTTTGCAAGACCAGGCATATCACTCTAATAAACATGTAGCGTGTCAGTGATATAACAACTGTGTACAGTGATTACAATAATACGAGAGTATATTCCAAATATTTGGTATTTTGCTGAATACACTATTTGTTAAAGTCTAATAAAAACATAATATATTTCATTCCAGCTGTACTTCAAGTGTTGCAAATCAAAACATGGTTTTGCACAATTTTTTAATATATTCTCATTTACTTACTATTTTGAGTAAGGCGTCACATTCAGAACTTCTAAGAGATAACTGCGAAAAATATGATTCATATGTTTCATCATCATTTTTTATCAATCTATCTTCAACTTCTGAGTAAGATTTTAAAAACTCTTGCATGGAACATTGCTCGAAATCTTCATTTCTAATAAATTCTTCATAAGAACCAGTAACTACCTGTGGCATATTATATATAATTAGAATCATATACTTTTAGCAACAGGGTAGTAAATAGTATCTTTGTATATTGTATTGTTATATATTTATTGTAATCCATCCTTGTTCTCGATCATATTAGGAAAGTTATAAATATTATTCATTTAAAAATATATAAAATAAGATCAAGTTAGATGCATTAAACATACCACAGATCAAATATTGCAATACCTGAGATAATTCAAAGAAGATTTCACGTTGAACCGTTGACAGAGGAGCCAGTGCATGGTCAGGAATCTCCCACTGGAGAAGTTTGTTTTGAATTCTGCGTATATTTGAATTTTCAGATTTTGCACTTTCAATATCCTCCATAATGTTTATGATTTTTTACTTCGATTTTATTCGAACGTTTATTTCTTCATGCTTTTTATAGATTATCTTAACTTATTATTATTATTACTATTCTATCAAATTATTTCTGTTAATTTTAAATACAAATATCTGACCTGTTAAGGTCAACCGTCCAATATTTACATCATCTTCAAATAACTCTGGTTTGCAATTGCAACGTCAAGACAACACGGCCACCCACTGCACTAGCATATTTAATCTAAGGAAGGCACAGTATCTGATAAAATATATAATATATTGGTATATAATTGGTAGAAATCGGCTCCACCATAGCAGTAGACACACGGCATCAAGACATGCTTCTATTCATTATGAATTATGTATTATTATATTGTCTAGGTATTTGACATTGCTAATTTCTACAAGAAGATTTGTCTGCTAATTTGACAACCTTTGTACCAACACACAAAAAGAAATCGACGTTAATAAAAACGCGTCCCCATCATAGATAGAAGAATAAAATAGATCGCAATGCCTTGTAATTTTACGTTACCACGTTACCGTTATGTTTATATATCTATGGACGTTACCATTAGATTAGAAATGCATTATATTTATGTATTTATGTTTACTTATCCTATGTGCATTAGATCGGCTATGTCCAACCTGCGGCCCGATGGCGATTTTTGTGCGGCCCCATGACAAACAGCAATCGCTCAAATTATTATTTTCAATTTAAATAAATAAAATAATTTTTGTAAAGGCTAATATAGAAGTCTGAGCACTAAGTCAGCTTCAACCGAAAGTAATGGTCATTAATCGAATGAATAGATGTCGATATCAGTTCAAGTCGAACCCTCGACGCGGACGGACGTGTGAAAGTGAATGCTCTCGCGTCAAATTATTATACTGTGTATGTAAACCATAATCAAAGTACGAAATTAATGTAGTTTTTACAAACATTAAATAAGTGATATTTTATAACAGTGTACTTAACTTGTATAGTAATTAGTGTGTTGACATTACACATTTTTGTGTCACCCTTATGGGGACACAATGAACAAACTTTCTCTTACCAAAACAAATAATATATTACATGAAGATTTGCAAACATGTTCGGATCAAACCACAGAAAAATTACGTCTCAAATTATCAATAATTTAAACGGAAATTCGATTAATTGTCAAGAAAAATGGATACTGAACAAACTATTCCAAAACCGATGCCTCGGAAAAGCGTGAAAATTCATATAGAAAATCCAACTAAGCAGACCCGGACCCCATCAGAAAACTCACTTTTGAACGATTCTTCATCTTGTTTAGATAATGTTCATCCTGTGTCGATTTCACACAACCAACCACCATCGACCTCCAAACAAGGATCAAAAGTCATGAGCTTTGAAGAATGGATCGAGGTTAAGTACAAAAAACATAAAGCAAATAAACCTGCAGAGTATTGGTTAAACCCTACATTAACCAGCAATTCCTTTGAAATTTTGAATGAAGTTCAAGAGCCAGAGCCAACAGAGAAAGAAGTAGTCTTAAAACCGCCACCAATTTTTGTCCATGATGTTAAAGACATCAGACCTTTGTCAATTTTACTAGAAACACACGCCAAAGGTAACTATACTAACAAAATTGTTGGTACAGATCAAGTCAGAATACAGTTGAGTTCTGCACAGCTATATAACAAAATTTTGAACCTCTTAAAAATTAGAAACACACAGATGCACTCTTTTCAAAGCAAAACCAACCGAACATTTAAAGTAGTCATTAGAAATATTCACTTCAGCACCGATATAAAAGACATCAAAAATGAAATTGAATCTCATGGACACAAAGTTGTGTATATAGCTAACATCAAGCACAGATTTACTCGTGCTCCACTGCATATGTTTATGGTAGAATTGGAACAAAACGCTAACAATAAAGACATCTTCAACATTTTGTCAATTTTTGAATAGAATTAGAGTTAAAATTGAGCCCAAAAATCCAACAAGAGAAATTGTACAGTGTACAAAATGTCAACGTTATGGTCACACTAAATCGTATTGTTTCAGAGACGCAAGATGTGTGAAATGTGCTGGCGATCATCTCAGTAAAAAATGCGAATGGACAGATCGCATCAACAAAAACGTCAAATGCGTACTTTGTAAAGAAAACCACCCAGCCAACTACAAGGTTGTAAGGAATACAAACAATTATTTGCTCAAAGATTTCCCCCAATTCGCACCAGATATTATCCAACAGAAAATACTATAAACAGACCGTCATATGTTCAATCTAATAAATCGTACGCGCAAGCCACAAACCCAATAGACCAAATTATGCCAGATCCAAATGTCTGCAACCAGCAACAAGCTAATTCCGACATTGATGAGCTGAAATCTATGATGAAAGATTTAGTAGGCAAATTTAGTATCATACTAAATTTACTAACCACCGTCGTTTCAAAATTAAAATGAATAGTAACTCATTAATAATTGGAATCTGGAATGCCAATGGTCTGCTCAACATAGGCAAGAATTAGAAATATTTTTAATAGAATACAAAATAGATATTATGTTAATCTCAGAAACCCACTTTACAAACTTAAACTATTTCAAATTAAACAATTATAATTTTTACAATACTAATCATCCGGATGGAACAGCTCACGGTGGAACTGCTATAATAATAAGAAAAAACATCAAACATACCAAAACACATCTGTCAATGAGGATTTTATACAAGCCACATCACTAACAATTCAACAACAAACTGAAAAATTAATAATATCTGCAATTTACTGTCCACCAAAACACAAGATCACCTGTGAACAATTTGAAAATTTTTTCGGAACACTTCAGAGAAATTCATAGCGGGAGGAGACTTTAATGCGAAGCATACCTTTTGGGGATCTCGATTGGCAAATCCAAGGGAGAACGAACTTTATAAACCGTCCAGAAACACGGGCTAACGACCCTATCCACTGGCGAGCCCACATACTGGCCGAGTGATCTGCGCAAATTACCTGATCTATTGGATTTCTGCGTCTTGAAGGTATAGCAAATGAACACATTCAGGCTAAATCTTGTCTTGATCTAAGTTCTGACCACACACCGATAATAGTCACATACAGTACAAAAATTTTAGAAGACAAGAAAAATGATTTTTTAACTAATAAGTATACAAACTGGGAATTATTCCGAAACATTATAGAGCAAAATCTCAACTGTAATATACCATTGAAAAACAAACATGACCTGAAAAATGCTGTTGATAAATTTAGTGCAATTGTAATAGACGCAGCTAGAAAAAGTACCCCACCACAAATTAAAAGAAAATTCACACTTGCTCTATAGACACCAAAGCTCTTATTGCAGAGAAAAGGAGGCTAAGAAAAAGATGGCAGCTAACCAGATCTCCACAAGACAAAACGCAATTGAACAGAATGTCTAAATTGATTAAACAATAGATAACAACGTTTAAAAACGACCAATTTCAAGACTTTTATCCATTTAACAATATCAGATCATTCGATTTGGAAAGCCACAAAAAACTTAAAACGTCCTGCCATTACTATACCTCCAATTAGAAAACCGGACAACACTTGGGCACGCAGTGATTTAGAAAAAGCAGAATATTTCTCGACTTACTTCAAGGAAGTTTTTACGCCAAATTCTTCAAAATCCTCGGAACAAGAAGAAAAATTTATTTTTGATTCTTTGAAAGAAGTTCAGTTAAATTTTTCATCAAACATCATTATCAAAGTTCCAGAAATTACAAATGAAATCCGAAGAGCAAAATCTGCAAAAGCACCTGGCGTAGACAACATTAATATTAATATACTTAAAGAGCTTCCCTACAAAGCCTACCGTTTCATAACAATACAATCTGTTTAACGGTATAATAAGACTTAAATCATATCCCGATCAATGGAAAATTGCTAAAATCATAATTATTCCGAAGCCTGGTAAAAATCCGAATGAAGTCCAAAGTTATAGACCAATTAGTTTACTTCCAACGTTATCCAAAATATTCGAAAAGGTCTTAATTAGAAAAATAAAACCATTTATTTATGATAGCAACGTTATCCCTGAGCATCAATTTGGATTTTTAGAAAAACATGGCACACCAGAGCAATATCATAGAATTGTCGACAATATAAACAAGGCTTACCAAAACAAGAACTACTGTTCAGCTGTTTTCCTCGATATTAGTCAGGCATTTGATAAGGTGTGGCACCCCGGCCTACTTTACAAAATAAAAAATGCATTGCCGATTGATATATACCTAATAATAAAGTCTTACCTAGAAGGTAGAACATTCTTTGTTAGTGTAAGGGGTGAAACATCCTCATTACATCCTGTCAGATCGGGAGTGCCTCAAGGTAGTGTCATTGGGCCACTATTATACCTCATATACACTGCGGACCTACCACAGAAAGAAGACATTTTGACAGCAACATATGCGACGACACACGGCATAATGGCAACACATGAAGATCCCATAATCACATCAAAAATGCTGCAGGATCATCTTGACGTGATACAAAATGGTTAAGCTTGTGGAGAATAGAAGTTAACAGCAGCAAGTCAAAACACATCACTTTCACTCTTTGCAAAGGGACTTGTCCTGCAGTAAGACTTAATGACGAAATTATAGATCAAACAGACACAGTAAAATATCTAGGTTTACACCTGGATAAGAGACTAACCTGGAAAGAACACATTAAGAAAAAGAGAAAGCAGCTAGAAGAAACCAGAAGAAGATATCATTGGCTCCTTGGACGAAAATTAAAACTTGACACTCATAATAAAATTTACCTCTATAAAGCCATCATTAAACCCATTTAGCATATTGGCATACAGCTATGGGGATCAACTTCCAACTCAAACGCTTTAATAATTCAAAGATTTCAAACAAGTTATTAAAAGAAATTTTGAAAGC